AGAAGTATTACGTTGCAATACCCAGGAAAGTTGATTTATCTGCACTCCGCTAAAATTAGAATAAAATTCTGTTTATATATTCTGGCTGCCCCCGAGATGACCGAACCTCAGACCTATTCTACCTATGAACTTGAGAGTTCTACTCCCTGATCCTCTAATTAAGAAATTAGTATTATATGAGCCTGACCTTTGATTTGTTGTCTTTCCCTGCTGTCTTTCAGGGAGGTGGTTAGATGTAGCTTATTTTCCAAGTATTTGGTTCAGTCAAAGGAGAATAGTTCACATTTTTATCTAGTCATATAATTTAGGGATGTAATGAGCCAGTTTTATGATTTATCAGAGGATACTTTGTTGTCATTACTGCCCTCCATTCTCTCCCCCCACACATATACCAATTTATCTTTTTCCTTATAGCAAAACCCTCTCATGGAATAACTTGCCTCTAATTGCTGTAGATTTTCTCTTGGAACTTAATAACTTGTTTGCCCATTCTGTAAGGTCAAGCTAGATATCTAAATTAAAAGATTTGACTGTCGTTTAAGTAATTGATCATATAGAAACTCTTTAAAGTTGTACGTAAATTTAATTTAGGTTCATCAGTAAATTCTGAACATTAAAAAACTGGGAGATTCAAAGGAGAAAAATAAAGTATTTCAACTCTAAAATATTAAGACATGTAGGTTTTTTGTTGTTTTATACAAAGAGGCTAAGTGTGACTAAATTCTTTATGATCATGAATATGCTAAATAATGTTTTCTTTGTCTCAGAATATTTCTGGAAAAAGACAGTAGTTTAAACTTAGCCATTGTGGTTGAGGTTATAGAGTGATTTGTAGCTAGAATGGGAGTTTTTGTGGATACCATTTATTTCCATTGATCAATGCTAAGAGTCTATGTTTAGCTTTGGTTTGGAATCTGTGAGAAAGCACAAAATCTCTCCTTAGTAGACCAGTACCTTCTTTATTATTGTAAAGCAACCTTACAGGTTCAAGTGTGTGTGTGTGTGTGTGTGTGTGTGTGTGTGTGTTGGGGGATGGCACAGTCTAAGAGCTTGCTTTGTCTGACACCTGTGTGTGCACTTCAGCAAGCAGAAAGAACAGGACCTTGCCATTTTTGTGGGGAAGGCATGTGATTTCAGTTCAGTTCAGTTCTTTATAGCTCTTCACTACTGTTTACGGAGTGTCTTATGGTTTTAGCAAAAGTTAAATCTCCTACTCAACTTACTTTCTAACTTCTCATTTTGTTTTAGTAAATTTAAGGAAAATAATTCACATTGCCCAAGAGTTGCTTAGAAAGTAATTAGTTCACAGTTGCTTTTAAATCAAGAAGCCATTTCCAGAGCTGCACCCTCAGGGTGGTTATGGTTGCTCTGCCTGCTGAGGTAGGAAATTAGTTCTGAGGATTGTTAATTCTTTAAATTCTGTTGCTTCTTCTGAGCCATCTACTGAACTTCATCAATAATATATAAAATAAAATGATTTTTAAGTAGAGAACTAGAATGAATTAAGTGTATGGTGTGGGGGAAACACCTTCACATCACTTTAGACTACCTTCCCAACTGAGATTCCAGCATTCTCCCTCTCTGTTCTGTATATCACAGCCTGGACCGTCCTTTCTTTTCCTCTGAACTCTGTTTGACTGTCTCCATACATGTTGTGTGATTCCTCAATTCTCCTTATTTAAGTTCAGTGTGCTCTTCACTGAATCATTCATACCTTTGTGTCTACCACAGCCCAGTATCACATTGCTGCATCTTTTATTCTTATACTACGTAACCACTCCTATTTAACTGATGCTTATTTGATACATTTACACTGTATCTTATTTAGGTCTTTGTTATGTTAAAACGTTATAAATTTTCATATATTGGCTAAATGCTAATTTCTATGAACGCAGGAATTTTTTCACAGTTTTCACATGTTTTCCAAATTTAACCAATAATATATTAGAAGCACATTGTTTATTGCTGACTTAATTTTAGATAAATTGATGGAAGGTTTTCATTGTAGTAAGTATTTTGGAATAAAAATATTTCATTAGTTTGAGTTCCCCCCTGAGATTAAATTTTGACAATAAAAGAGACGCTAATTGCTGTATAATGGAGACCCGTGGTCATTCTTTTGTTGAAAGGAAGATTCCATTAGAGGATGCTCAAGTTACCTGTGTCCTATGAATAGGAGTAAAAATATCCCCAACATGTGACACCAGAAGGCTTAAATAATTGTGCCTTATGACCTCTGCCAAACTCCGAAGAGTAATTTTCATGTAAATATTAAGTGATAATTCAACTTTAAATGATTTAAAAATTATAAAGTAATATGTTGAAGGTTATTGCTAATATGCAAAATTTAAATAATAGTACAGTATTACTAGTTTTGCTATTTGAATTATGTGTCTCTGAGTTTAAAAAGAAAAGGAACAGTTGGTTCCTGTACACAGTTTCAGAAGTCATTAGATACAAATGATAAAGCATAATATATTTTATATAGGTAAAATTTAAATCTTATGTCTGTAATACAAAAGCTGTATAACCTTGGGCATGTTACTAAACTCATCTGAGCCATGGATTTTTCTTATAAAACTGGAAAGAGTAATGTCTTAAAATTTAGGGTAAGAACATCTGTCTTGGCTATTTTTAATGTCACCTTGACACAAACTGGAATCATTTTGGAAGAGGGAAGCTCAATTGCCTTACCGGCAGGGGTCTCTATTATTGTGAAAACACACCAGGAATGAGGCAACTATTAAAATAGAAAGCATTTAATTGGGATCTGCTTACAGTTTCAGAAGTTTAGTTCTATTATCATCATGGCAATGAGCATGGCAGCATGCAGGCAGGCCACAGGAGCAGAAGCTGAGAGCTACATCCTGAATCCTGATCAATAAGCAGAGAGAGAGAGAGAGAGAGAGAGAGAGAGATATCCATCTGGGCCTGACATGGGATTTGAAACTGTAAAGTGCTCCTTCCCCCCCACCCCCCACCCAGTGCCACACTTCCTAATCCTTATAATCTTTCTAACAGTTCTACTCCCTGGTGACTAAGCATCCAAATACGTGAGCCAGTGTGGGGGTGAGGTGGGGGGCACATTCTTATTCAAACCACTACAACAAGACTAGGGCACATTTCTTGATTGATGGAAAGGGGAGGGCCCAGCTCACTGTGGGTGATGCCATCCCTGGGCAGGTGGTCCTGAGGAGCAAGCTAGTAAACAGCACCTCCAAGGCTTCTGCATGAGTTCCTGCCTCCAGGTTCCTTGAGTTTCTGTCCTGACTTCTGAGATAAGGGACTATAAGTTGTAAGTTCAAATAAACTCCCCCCCCCCCACCCCAAGTTGCTTTTGGTCACAGCATTTTATCAAAGCAACAGAAAAGCAACTGAGAGGACATCTACAGCACAGAGCACAGTGTCCCTGAGCACACTGCATCTTGTGTTTTGCTGGTGTTTTCCTCTTCCTCCCCATGTTAGAAACAAAGTACTTAATTGAACGACTGAAAATTTTTTCTTCATTTTGTGTTGTAGTGCATTGTGGTGTTTGTAAGAAAGCCATTCTGGTTTGTTTGGTTTGATTGGGTTGGGTTGGGTTTGTTGTTGTTTGGGGACAGGTGGAGAAGAGAGCAGAAGATTTTACTATATAGCACAGACTGCCCTGGAACTCACGATGTGGACCATGCTGGCCTGGAACTCACAGAGATCCCCTGCCTCTACTCCCCAATTAAAGGCGTTCATGCCCAGCATTTGTTTTACTTTGAGACTTTGTTCTTTAATTATGCATGTTTGTGATTATCGATTATATGGGTTTGTGCACATGAGCACAGTGCCATGGAGGCAAAACAGAGCTTTGGATCCCTTGCACCTGGAGCCACAAGTGATTGTGAGTCACCAAAAACGGATGCTAGGCACCTGACCTTGGTGGGTTCCTAAACTCAGGTTCTGCTAGAGCGTAAGTGTTTCTAACCAGAGGGCCAGTTCTCCATCCTCTGCTGTCCGAGTCCTAACAGTGATCCAGTGAGGATAGATTTTGAAAAAAGATCTTGTCAGTGTTGTAATAAAAATATATGTCAAATAATTTGATGGATTGTTTATTCTTTTTAAAATAGTAAGTTTGGAAGAATATTGGAAAATATTTGACATTAATCTTACAAATGTATTAGGACATTACTATTAAAACTATCATAATTTTCCTAAGTTATTGAAAGGATCTATAAGAAAATCATAAAATAAAAATTTGCCATCATAACTAAGGCAGTAGTAGTATTAGAAATAAAACCATTTTAATCAAGCTTTTTCAGAAATGAAGATTTTTTTTTTAGCTAAATTACCCTTTTGTTTGAGCCTTTACAGAAATGTTTGCAGTGATAACAGTTCACTTTCCTGCTGTGTAGCCCTGACTGCACTTGTCCCTCTGTTGGTCTAAAGGCAGTCTGCATGGCACCGTGGAATGGCTCCAGGGTAGAGTTTAGGCCCAGTTTGAAATGTCGCTGCTCTTCCAGCCCCCAGACTGGCACTGGCTTGGATTGTCACAGCCCCACTATGAAAATTGGTCATATAACATTTGCTAACATATTTGAGACTCTGGTTTCTTAAACATAAGATTTGGGAGAGTGTTAGCCTGGGAGATGGCTCAGTCAATAAGAGAACTGCCTGCTCTTCCAAAGGTACTGAGTTTGATTCCCACCAACCACATGGTGGCTCACAACCATCTGTAATGAGATCTGGTGTCCTCTTGAGGAAAAGAACTGGTCAATCGTCTTCATCAGCTTAGACCGTGAAACCCAATATGGACAAGTTCAACTGAACCAACATATTCGGGCTGCCACGCATGCTTTAGCTTTGTCAGGGCATAAATTTCATTCATTTCAATTCATCCTAATGTGTAATTTGATTGACTTGCTTAAATCTATGAAGCAGATTCCCTAAAAGAAACAACGATTTAAGTTTCTTAAACTATAGTCTAACAGGGTCCTAGATTTTGGTTCTATCTTTTATCTTCTTTGAAACAGGTAGACCGCCACTTGAGAAAGCTGGATCAGGAACTGGCAAAGTTTAAAATGGAACTTGAAGCTGATAATGCTGGGATAACGGAAATATTAGAGAGGCGTAAGTACAATTTATGGTTTTCCATCTACCTTAGAGAATTACCTGTGTCAGTCACCAAGGAGACATTTTCTCACAGAAATCTTTCAAATTATACATGCTCTTTGGCGAATGGTGGCACCGGGTCTCAGAACCTGAAGTCTAGCATTGAAGTCTTTGAGTCATAAACAGTGATAATACAGAGTATATCAGCCCACTCCCTCTTTGTGACACTCAGTGAGAGATAATACAGTATATCACCCCACTCCCTCTTTGTGACAGTCAGTGAGAGATAATACAGTAAATCACCCCACTCCCTCTTTGTGACAGTCAGTGAGAGATAATACAGTATATCACCCCACTCCCTCTTTATGAAAATAACATGCAAAGGCTTTTCATTCTGTGCTTCACTTTGAGATGGGATCTTGCTATATAAAACCCTGCAGCCTCAGGTTCTAGGGTACTGTGATTATTAGTATATGGCTCCATATTTGACACTCCTTCCATTTTTAGTATCTGCATATGCTAATCTGATCAGTGGTAAGAAGGAAGTGGCAAAGAAATGCAAGTACCAAGAGTGAGAAATGAACTAAGTCTGTTTTTATGTGCTTAGGTTTGAGAAAGATTGGGTTTTTCCTTCTTAGAAACATCTTGAGGCTTTGCCTCACCTGTGTGTACTGAGATATCCACTGGTTCCATAACATTTGCTCTTTTGTTTCCCAAACCTCCTTCTCAGAGAAAGCCATGCTTGTTTGTTTATTTATTTATTTATTTATAGCAAGATTCAACTTGATGTGCTCTAACTTAGTACCAAATACTTCCTGGGCTTAACTCTGGAGATTTTCTCAAAATGTGAAAAGGATCAAGATCTCTACTTTTAACTGATTTAGAATCTCTTCCAATCTAACTAGGTGAAATAAAAGCAGATAGCTTGGCAGTGGGGCCAGAAGAGGTAGGTAGTCACTGTTGGGTGACTTCTATGAGAATTCAGTTACAGTGTTCCAGCAGACCATGGGCGTTGGTGCACTTACAGCTGGAACCTGTTCCTGTGTCTACTGCTGGATAGTGGGTGTCGTGAGGGCAGTGTTCCCAAGCTCCATGTTTACCAGATTTGTGAGGCTCATCTGAAGAAGCCAGGAAAATTGTACCTTTAAATTGAAAAGTAGATCAACGTTCACACAATTATCCTCTCTATTAGCAATACCTTTATTCCAGAGGAAACCTATCTGAGGATAATAGAAATTGGGGAACAAGATGGAATATTATATAACCATGGAGGTTTTCTTTCTTTTGGAAATGCTGGTGGTAGCTGTAACAATACCCCAACCCTGCCTCCTCACTGCTTCAGGAAGGTTAATATAATATCCACGCCAAGGACACAGATACATGAAATGGTGCTCAGATCACATTACAAAACCTGCTCCATCCTGCCCCCTGACATGATTTTATCTCAAGGGATAAACTCCGAGAATTTCTTTAGAAATATTTTAAAGTTTGGTATGAGGACTTACACCCTTTGCTTTTTGCAAGCAAAGTGCTAAGTTATTTTCTGGAGTTGTCATTATCACATTCATGTTCATGATTGAAAGAATTTCTTTGTATGTCATCCTCTCCGCATACTTAGACCTTCAGGATTACCCACTGAAAGGTCTTCAAGTCTGTAACTAGATAATATCCGCATACCTAGACCTTCAGGATTACCCACTGAAAGGTCTTCAAGTCTGTAACTAGATAATATCCTCATACCTAGACCTTCAGGATTACCTATTGAAAGGTCTTCAAATCTGTTACCAGAGAAGATTTTAGATCTCACCGTCATAGAGCTGTAATGCCCCTTTTCCTGTTTATGTGGTACCTAGCATCAAATTAGACATTAGCATGCCTTGAGCTGTTGTATACTTCATGTGAGTTCTGATACATGAGTCTTACTGCTTTGAGAGGGTTGTTCAGGATGATATCGAAGGTTGTGATCCTCTACGTGTCTAGCTAAGATGATACACTATGCACCAGAGTTTGGCAGTCATCTGTGAGGGGACATATTGCTTATGGTTGGTTAGTGTGTAAAGTTCTGTGGTGACATCTAATCCTGGTTTGTCTCTGTGCCCCTCTCTCTAGGATCTTTGGAATTAGATACTCCTTCTCAGCCAGTGAACAATCACCATGCTCATTCACATACTCCTGTGGAAAGTGAGTTTTATTTGAATACATTTTAAAACTCATTAATGTCACCTATATGTTCTATTTTATTAGCTCCACATACTAATAACCAATTGAGAAATATCTTTCCATTTTCTTTTTTAAAAAATAGGATTTTATCACAGTTGATTTTAGACTTTTCCATTTAAGCAAAGTGTATCTAATCTGAAAACAGTCAGTCTCTTCTATAAGCATAGAAGCAGAATATATAGAAATACCAGCAGCATCTATCAGCTTCCTACAATTCTAGGGAGTATCATGGCTGACCTGAACTGTATTTCTTCATATCACTATGTCTCTGTCAGCTTTGACTCTCAGGGCTTGCTTACATATAGCATGTGCGTAAAGGAATCGTTTGGTGCTTGGCTAGTTGATGGCCTTGCTGCATTTTTTTTGACAAGAGGAAAAAGTGGTAAATTGAAAGTTATTTTAAATGATAGTCAATATATTAAAATGAAGCCGGGTGGTGGTGGCTCACGCCTTTAATCCCAGCACTCGGGAGGCAGAGGCAGGCGGATCTCTGGGAGTTCGAGGCCAGCCTGGTCTACAAGAGCTAGTTCCAGGACAGGAACCAAAACTACAGAGAAACCCTGTCTCGAAAAACCAAAATATATATTTTATATATTAATATTAATATATATTAAAATGAGCTTTCTCTCATGGTATATGTGAAACCATAGTGCATCGTATTTTGGTCCTAAGGTTTTTAAAATGCTTGACATATCTACTCCCTCAGTGAAACCCACGGCATAGGCTGTTTGCTTGTCCCTCCTTGGTGAGCATAATGGCCTGTTTCCTGGAGAACCTAGATCATAACTGTGCTGGTTTATAAAAAGGTACAAGTATTATTATGTCCTGTCTGTAGTCCTCTAAAGTTTAAAATTGTGTGAATTCTTTCCTTTTATTCAGAAAGAAAATATAATCCAACTTCTCATCATACAGCAACAGATCATATCCCCGAAAAGAAATTCAAATCTGAAGCTCTTTTGTCCACCCTTACATCTGATGCTTCTAAGGAGAACACACTGAGTAAGCTTGTTTTCTTGAATATGATAATTTGCTTATTTTGTTTGTGTTGGAGTAATGGGATAGAAAAACACTCACGGTTATAATTCCACATGTGTTAACCTGGTTCATGTCTACGTGTGGAGAATAGAATAGAACAATTGGTTTCCATTTATCAGTTGGTTCAATCCCTAAAGTACCTAAAGAATTTAAATTTAATGATTATATATGCTGGGAAAGAATACATTCTGAACTCAGTAACATTATGTTCTCTGCAACTGTCTTTATTTCTTCTTTGCAGGTTGTCGAAATAATAATTCCACAGCGTCCTCCAACAACGCTTACAATGTGAATTCGTCCCAACCCCTGGCATCTTATAATATTGGCTCATTGTCTTCAGGGACTGGTGCAGGGGCAATCACCATGGCAGCAGCTCAAGCAGTGCAAGCAACAGCACAGGTAAAAAGTCAAAGGTTTAGAAGCAAATGTTACATTTTGTTCCCGTCAATGGCAAACCCCAAGGAGCCACTAGGTGTGAAGACACGACATTGTGCGGTTTCAGTATACAGTTGGGCTTTTAGGCTAGGCGGTGTTTTAGTGATAACGCAGCAGGGCCGCTGGGTGGGAGTGATGCATCATGCACGTGGCACGCCGACCTCCCCCAGTCAGCGCCCAAGTAGCCTTGCTCTCCTTGTGAGGACAGTTCTGTTCTTTCTGCACAGTCGGCCTTTCTGCTGGATTTGTGGTGGTTGCAGTACGCGCATTTCTGTAGTTTGCACACAGTGCAAGTTAAGACGTTCCATTTCCCATAGTTTTTCTCAATTTAGCATGAAAATTATTTTTGAATCTTTACATGAAATGACTTAAATAACCATAACTTGTCACTTTTAAAAGAGAAAATTTATATTTACATATATTGATGCTGTCAATGCCTGTCTACTTAAGATGAAAGAAGGACGAAGGACATCAAGTTTAAAAGCCAGTTACGAGGCGTTTAAGAATAACGACTTTCAGCTGGGAAAGGAATTTTCAATGCCCAGAGAAACAGCTGGCTATTCCTCCTCCTCGGCGCTCATGACAACCTTAACACAGAACGCCAGTTCCTCAGCAGCTGACTCCCGAAGTGGCCGAAAGAGCAAGTAAGTTCTGTGATGGAAATGTGCCTTTGCTCAGTACCGCTTCTATGGAGCCTCCTCTGGGCTGCTGGGAATTAGCTAAAGCGGGCTGCAGTGGCCCAAGCTGACCGCCGGGGCATGCAGACAGCGTTTGCACTGCCTTACCTAGAAGACTGGAAGTCTTGCAAGTGTTAGGGTCATTTGTAATTTTCCTGAGTTTGTATGTAAGTGACTTCACTTTCTTTTGTTCTTTAAGATAGATCATTTTATGGTACTGTTTCCATTTTTAACTTAGGTGTTTCATTGTTGATTAATATAAAGTGCAAATTGTATTCCAGGAAGGTTTTACATAAGATTTTTTGTTTTGATTAATAGTAAAGTATCTGAATTTTTGCTTATGTCCCCAAAACTGATTATATGAAAATATCCCTAGATTTGGTATGGGAGAGGCTGAGGCTGACTGTGTGAACTGTGGAAATGAAAACTTATTATTTGCCACTGTTCATCCAAGATAATGTAAACATCAGGTATCTGTACATATTGAAAATTCAAGCCAGGCATGATGGCACCCATCTGTAAGCCTAGCACTGGGAAGGCAGAGGCAGGAGGATTACCTCAAATTCAAGGCCAGCCTAGTCTACATAGAGAGCTCTGGCCAGCCAGGGCTACAGCAGGAACCCTGTCCCTGTTGTCTGAAGATTAAAAAGGTACAAAGTGCTAGGCCAAAAGATTTAATTATCTCACTAGAAAACAGCCACAGAATCAACTAACCAGGGCCCATAGAGACTCACAAACCTACTACTACAGTCAGGGAGTCGTAGGTTTGACCAAGGTCCTCTGTATATATGTTATTGCAGTGTAGCTTAGTGTTCAGTGGGAACCAAGGCTGTTTCTGGCTCTTTTGCCTGCTTTGGAGACCCTTTTCCTCCTACTGGGCTGCCTTGTCCAGCCTTAATATGAGAGGATGTCCCTAGTCTTATTGCAGCTTGATGCCATGTTTGGTTGATACCGCTAGAAGGCCTGCCCTTTTCTGAAAGGAAATAGAGGGAGGGTGGATCTAGAGGAAAGGAGTGTGGGAGGGGGAGGAGCTAGAAGCTAGAAGGACGGGGGGGGGGGGGGACTTTAGTAGGGATGTAATATAAGAGAGAAGGATAAATAAAAAAGAAAAAATTATCTAATAATTATATTTTAATTTTATTTTTAAATGTATTACTTTTCTACAAAATTCCTGAAAGAATGATCAATGTAAAATATCCACAGAAATATTACATATCTTAAAAATTGATACAATTGCCCAAATTTAATTGAACTCCTTATAATAAGTTACTGTGTTTTAGAACTCCAGAATAGAGTTGGTGGTAAGCAGTTCATGAATTTTGACACTCTTAGCTCCATGTTCTATACTTGGTAGGCATAGAGCACATGCCCTTGATGTTAGAAGGATTTCATCACCTACTTTGTATATTTGTGTTTAAGGTTTTAATGAGAATTGTGAGATAGTATAGCTATTATTTTTAAATACTACCAGAAGTTTTAAGTCAATAGTAGATAGTAACTAATTTAGGAATTATTTTTACAAGTTGAAAACATTTTAAAAGAATTTTCTTTTATTTATTCTAAATAGATCTTTTAAAAGAAGCTTCTTCTCAATACTTTTATTCTCTAGAAATCAAAACTTGTAAATAACTATTGAAAACAATGTTGCTTCCTTTGCTCTGGGAAATTGCTTCTGAATGAGATTCTTTAACATCGGGCATTGATGCGTCCTTTCCTTTCACGTCAGTTACTAGGAGTCCTAATGAGCAAATAAAACTGATCTTTCTCTAATTTTTTTTCCAGAAACAACACCAAGTCTTCAAGCCAGCAGTCCTCCTCCTCCTCCTCCTCCTCCTCCTCTTCCTTATCTTTATGTTCATCATCTTCAACTGTAGTCCAAGAAGTCTCCCAGCAAACAACAGTAGTGCCCGAGTCTGATTCCAACAGTCAGGTTGACTGGACGTATGACCCAAATGAACCTCGATATTGCATCTGTAATCAGGTAAAAGCCCGGAGCCTGTCTATAAAAATGCAGTCTGAATAAACAGGAAGGAAGATAACTGTTTCATTTTTCACCACATTTTTATTCCAGCTAAAATCAAGAGTGACTTTATTTGCATAATTTTCCTCTTATAAAAATAGCATATTTGCTGTAAATACTAAAAATATAAAGAAACATGTGAGTCACACAGAATGTCGCCTTCTAATACAGCCTAAGGTGAGACACTTTGATGTCACACCAGTAAGTACCTTGAATGTATGTTGGCTAATGTAATATGCTATTGGCCAAGTGGTTTACCCAGCCAAAATTCATCTTATGATGGTTTTGGAGACTGGGAAATCCAAGAACATGGTGCTTGTTAGTGGGTTTCTGGTAAGGGACCACTTTTTTAGTTTGAAGCCAGTTGTCTTTTTCCGGAGTATTCATGGATCAGAGATAGGGACACATGTCGTGCAGATAGGCAAGCACGTGCCAGCTTCACCGTTTCTTCTCATATAGCCACTGGAACCACCAGATTCTGGCTTTATTTAACCATAACCACACCTTACAGGCCCAGTCTTTCGTTATAGGGGGTTATGGCTTCAAAATAGGAATTTTAATGAATAAAAACATTCATTCCATAACAGTTATGTGTACATAATATATATGGATGTGGTATGCTTGTATATCTATGATAAAATGTATGTATATGGATGTGGTATTCTTGTATATCTATGATAAAACGACCTTTTGCTCACTGAAACAAGGTTCTTTTTAAAAAATTTTCAAAACTAGCTCTCCTGCTTTGCACCATAATTTATTTAGTCCATCCCTAGCTGTAGACTTTATTATAGTTCTCATTTCCTTTAAATCACAAATATTATAAACATCATTTTATTGTAATTGCTTTTATACTAGCTTTATATTAATTCAGTCAAATACAATGATGTTATAAGTGTTTGGTACAGTCTACCAAGATACATACATATATATATTTCTACTACCTAAAATTGATATTTATAACATTTCCTAAAGCCTAGGCCAGCACTAAGTATTACTTTCTTTTAAATACAATGCATTAGTTTGAAAGTTTTGTGTCCCATGGTCATTTTAGTTGGCTTTAAAACCATTTATCTTCTTGTAAATTAACTTCTAGCAAAGCTGGCTATATTTTTGTTGATTCTTTATGCATGTTGTTAATGTTTGAGAGGCCCCCAGAAACTTATGTGGAGAGTCATTGAGGACACCTGGTGTCTGCCGCATCTCAGTAGCAGACCCTGATGGTCAGAACTCAGACTCAGATGCAGAAGTGACCCAAGAGGACATAAAATTCATCAGTTGGTGGATAGCCAGAAAGAAAGTTTACAGTGTTAGCCCAAGGACAGACACAGACCTGACTTGCAGTCAGGGTGGCTTACCTGGTGGTTTCTGGACGTACCCTCTTACCTTGTCCCCTACGTTCACCTGTATTCAGTGAGTGTCTCTCTGTTCTCTGACATCAGAAACACCCAGTTTAGATTAGATGCTAATTACATAGTTATAATAAGTTTCTCTAATTTTCTTTAAACTAGGTATCCTACGGCGAGATGGTGGGGTGTGATAACCAAGATGTGAGTATTAACATTTCTCTATCTTAGAATGTAAAGAGTTGTAGATAACTGAGTAGCTGTCTTATAACTGTGTCTCCCAATCTCAAAATCGGTTTTCATGTATGATGACTGATGGGAGCATCTTCGTGTGCACAGCAGGACCATGTCCACAACTCTTTTCATGAGCTCCCTGCTTAATATTTTTAAAGGTAGTGGTATAGTATTACAGTTCAGATTAAATTCTCAGGAGTTACTTCTGGCAGTTCTAAGTGTTTTCCTTTCTTTCTGCTAAAGACTGTGTTTGCTAGAGTCCAGGCTGTTTACCACACTGAAGAAATGAGACTTTAAGGCTGTACATTTTTATAGGCAGATGATGCCTGGGAATAATGACCTAATATGGGGTTAGTTCCCTCTTGCTATTGCGGCATTCAGCATTCCCTCCTCTGGGGACTTATGCTGGTACAAGCCATCTCTGGTGGGAAAATGAGAGGCGGATTGAAGGAAGGCATCAGAATACCCTTACAGGAGAAAAGGTTTTTTGACTTATGCTTCCAGAGGAGAACGGTGCATCGTCGTGGTAGGGAGGTGTGGCAGCAGGTGTGTGTGGTTGACCTGGCATTCAGCAAGTGTACTCCCACACGGGAAGTGGAAAGTGAGACAGCCAACAAACCTCAAAACCCATCTCCAGTGGAGTATTTTCTAGCAAGGCTCCCTCTCTTAAAGGTTCTAGAAACTTCTTAGGGACCAACTGTTCAGGCACAGGAGCTTATCAGGGGAATCTCATATTCAAACCACAGCAAGGACTTAATTTTTGTTAAAGATGGGTGTTTGACTAAATACTGAGCCGATTTTGTGCAGTGGTTTTGACTCGTCCCATAATTGCCTTCCAGCAGTTCCCTCTGTTCCTCTTCCTTGTGAGGAGTAGCTTGAAACTACTGGCAAGGAGAGGCACCGGCAGTTTTGGAATCCAAATATTAACAAGAGTGGAATTTGTAAAATATATAAGGAATAGCAGACTGGCTTAATGCAGTGACAGTTGTGTGGGTTCCTTCCCTGACAGGGTAACAACAGTGTGACACAAGCCCTCCCCAGCTTCCCTGTGTAGTCGTGTGTGTGTGTGTGTGTGTGTGTGTGTGTGTGTGTGTGTGTGAGAGAGAGAGAGAGAGAGAGAGAGAGAGAGAGAGAGAGAGAGATGGGGGCTGTTCAAAGCAGTGCTACCCCTCCATTTCTAGTAGCTCATGAAGATACTGACTGCGAGTCCATGTCCCCTGGGGTCTCTCTGGTTCCTCCTGTGCTCTTGTGGGTGGAGTGAAGAGTTGCTGAATGTTTCACAGAGGATTTTCTCCATATCTCTGAATAGAGCAGCAGAAAGGAAGGAAGCGCAGCCACCCCTCTCGATGTCTTTAGTTACAGCCAGCTCATCCCACTTCCTGATGTCTGAGCATCTTTACATCTTAGCATATTTTCCTTCTTCCTATAAGATTCATCTTCTTTTTCCTTGGAAGATGTTTCTGCCTGGCCACCCGAGTTGATGACAGTGAGTGAGTGTTCTCTCTGTAGTGCCCAGGTCGTAGAGTCCACGCGCCTCCTTTTTACCAGAGATTGTTGTGCTTTCATTTCATTGTCCATGAGGTAGATCAGTTGGACTCAGTAACCTCTAAGGCACTGCCAGGATCCAAGAAGTGAGACTGCACAAATCTAATTTCAGTTAAATGAAGTACTCTGTTTCCTGAGCATTTTTACTGTTTGTTCTTTAGAAGTACCGACACTTTGTTTTTATTTTTGCTTTCCAGTGTCCGATAGAGTGGTTCCACTATGGGTGTGTTGGCTTGACAGAGGCCCCGAAGGGGAAGTGGTACTGCCCACAGTGCACAGCCGCCATGAAGAGAAGAGGCAGCCGGCACAAATAGAGGCGCTTCCCTGGAGCGAGGAAGAGCTTCGGCTTGGCATTTTATACGGGACTCTAGAAAGAAAGACACGGGAAAGAAGAAGCAACTCATTTCCAGGCAACCACTTACAGGATTTACATAGACAATCCTATAAGATCTTGAACTTGAATTTTATGAGTTGTATTTTAATAATGTAAGTAAATTATTTATGCACTCCTGGTGTGCTATGAATATTATTCCAGTTAGCCTTGGATTATTTCTGTGGCCAACATATGCAGACATTTGTACTCCTCAACCATTTTCTCAAAGTAATGGGCATTCTATAATTTAAACTTCAAAGAATTCCAACGATGAAGATTTTAAGAAAGTATTTTGTATTCAACAGGTATATTCTGCTGCATGTACTGTACTCCAGAGCTGTTATGTTACACTGTATATAAATGGTTGAAAAAAACAAAAAACAAAAAACAAAAAACAAAAAAAAAGTCAGTCCTTCTAAAAAGGATTTAAGATAATGGTTTTTAAGATGCCTGTATAATAAGCTTTGTTTCTTTGTGAAACTCATTGAGCAGGCTGAAGGGATTGGTTCCTGTGATAAAGTGGGCTGGTGTCCTCTAGAGTACCTGGGTACAGAAACAGAAAGTCCTGTGGGGGAGACCTGATTCGTGCCATTAGTCTATATGTTTTGCATCCAGATGAGAGTGCAGCTCAAGAGGGTGGGGGCGGGGCCTACGGGGAAAGGGCGTTAAAGTGATACATTTTTATACCAAATGTGTTTATTTTTTTGTGCGAGTAATCCTTAAATTGGAATTGTATTAGGTGTTAAAATAAAGTTTTTAAAAAAATAACTTGTATTTATACTTTACACAATTAATTATGAAAATTTCTTAATTGCAATTTATTTCTAATTTTCATAATCTAAAAAAGATTAGCAGTTAGCATGCAGAAGCTATGTAATCTATGATTTCTATAATAATGGTTGGAAATTGTGTTAATGGAATAAGGGAAGGACATTTTTAATGTAAATTCGAAGTGTCAAATGTATTTTTCTAAGATATTTCTCTGGCTTTGCTTTGAATCTAAGGATGAAAAAGAAACCTAATTACAGCAGATAAAGTGAAAATAATGACTCTAGATGTTTGGATTGGAAGCAGTGTGACCAGTATAACTGAAGAGACCTTAAAATTTCAGCTCTGTGTTTAATTCTGTGACACGGTGATGTGGGAGTTCATTCAAGTCTTCATCACCCTGGGCTCTGTGAAACCAAAGTGATGCGGGTTGTAGGCGGTCCTCGGAGTGCTCCCGAGGTCCGTGGACATAGGTGCTATTGAGATGATGGCTGTACATAGTGGAGGGTTCGCGTAAGTCCACTACGATGGGTGGAAAACTTGCTCAACTATCACAGACAGTTATTATATCAATCTTCCTTTTTATTGAAATGTCCATAAGCTTTGTGTTTTAATGAAGCCCATTGTGAATCTTTTAGAACTTAATCAAAAGGCAGTGTTAAGTCTGTGTAGTGCTACCTAAAGGGTAGAGCTTTGGTAGATTTTAGGAGCTTCGTCCAGCTCTAAGATCCTGTGACGCTGAGCTGCCACAGGCTAACTTTGTCACTGTTGTTGGCCTCCAAGACAGGTTTATATGGTCCTTAGTATTTTGTATCATCAAGGGTGTGATTTCACGATCGTGTTTTCATGGGGATTTCATGAGCCTTTAAGACATGTATACAGTTGTGTTCTGTTAGCTCAGCCCTGTGCTATCATGAGATGCTCGGATGAAAGGTACTTGCATCCTGTAGGCACCCAGTGTGACTCTCCCAAACTCAGTCTCTCGCTGACAACTGGCTAGAGAAAATCTCTGGATCTTAAGAGAAAGTCCCTTGACAAGACAGGGGCATGCCTGCGCTCATTGGCTCCAGCTCCTCTCACTTCTGCCTCCTGAGTCACCGAGAAAACATGCCAGCAAGCTTCGAGACCACGCATTGATTCTCTTACCAACTGTACATAAGGAAATACACCAAAATTTGACACTAAGTATTTAGAAGTGATTAGAATCTGTCCCTAAATTATATAGCTGTGTATATGTGTATGTCCTTACATACATATTTGGCCAAACATGGAACTACCTCATTGAAGCAACATGGCCAGCGATTAATGTTCTTTGTAACACTTACACCAAGGACATTCAGCATCTCTGTTGTACAAAACTTGTGTAACAGTGGGTGGCACAAAAGGCCCAAGTGTGAGTTCACAGTTTATAGGTGGTGAAAAAAAAATGAGGCCTTACTGCTGTAGTGTATATTGACATGTTCATGGTGACCCATTTGAAGCAATAAATGGCTTAATTAAATGCCTACATGAAGCTGAGTGTTTGATAACCTTACAATCATTCTCTTTAAAGGGTAGCCAGAGTTTTGGCTCATTTCTTCCTGAAAAGCACCCTCAATGTATTTTAGGTTTCTAACGATGTTAGGTTTGTATAATGTGTAAGTCCCATGGACTTTAGAAATAGTTTTGTTCATTCAGTTAATTAACTTTAACCTTATATAAATTGTTGCTTGTTAAACTTGGATCGTAAGAGACAAGCTACCTAGATATGTGGATACTGCCGTTTTCTTGTTTACATTAAAAGCAATCTTTCAGCAAACAGGCTTTAAGAAAAAACCTGAGAGCTATCTGTATAACTTTTCAACTGTCAAGCCCTCAGGTGCCGAGAATGATGTACATTAAGGAATGTGTGTTGTTGAAACGATGGAAGCCAGCTTGCTGACAAATATTTGTAATATCTTGGCAAAGGCTATGATGAATATAGAAAGCACTGCGGGAACGTTGGGAGGCAGGGGAATTGATTATTGCAGCAAAAAGGGAGCCTAAAGGATGAATCATTTGAACTGTATCCTAAAGACAGAGCATATGTGTTCTCGGGCACCAGTAATCTGCGTTCCATAGACCTGAAGTAGAGAGGTACAAGGTCCAGCAGAATCCAGAGGCTGAGCAAGAGTAGATCTAAGCAGGTCATTTTACTTAACCTAGGGATAGTTTGTAGTAGAAGGGGGGATAGTTACCGATTGTTGCTTAACCATAATAATGATTAAAAATCATTGGTAACAATTAAAAAGCACGGATGTCTCCAAAATAGCCTGGAGCTTGGAAATTGATAGCTGTTAAATTTAAGCTAGTTATTTACCCTATTTTTTAAAGGGGCAGGGTGGAGGGGGGACATGGCACAGAACGCACGTAGGGTTCAGAGAACAACTTTGCAGAGTTGGTTCTTGTAGCAGGCCTTTTAGGACCGCCGGCCCCCAAATCATGACATGGAGGCTTATTAATTATGAATACTCAGCCTTCTCTTATGCTTGTCCCACTAGCTCCTGTAACTCAATTTAACCTGTTTCTCTTCATCTACAATTTGCCTCGGGGCTTTTTACCTTTCATTCTGTATGTTCTTCATTTATGCTTCTCCCTGGCTGGCTAGCAGCTGCCTGGCTGGCCCTGGGCATCTCCTGCTCTTTTTCCTTATTTTCTCTTCTTTCCTGGTGAGCTTAGATTCCTCCTCCTACTTATTCTCTCTGCCTGCCAGCCCTGCCTATCCCTCTATTGCCTATTGGCCGTTCAGCTTTTTATTAGACCAATCAGGTACCATAGGTAGGCAAAGCAACACATCATTAAACAAATGCAGCATAAACAAATGTAACAGATGCTTGCCTAGTTAATGTCATATCCCACAACACATTCTCTCCTTCTACTTTATGTGGGTTCTGGAGATTTGAACTCAGGCCTCCAGGCTTGCAGGCAAGTGTCTCTACCTGCTGATCCATCTGGCCTGCTCTACCCTCAGTTATAACTGAGTTATGTTTGAACAGCAATAAGAATTTCAAGTCAAGATTTACAGGTTTCCTTATTTACAAAAGAGTCTGAGTTGTAGAATTGGGTTTTGGTTTTTACCTAATAAAATGTTTGAGATTTGATTCTGTCAGAGAAATATTGATTTAAAAATTAATTAGTTGGCTTTAGGGTGTTGTTTTTAGTTCAAGTTTGATAAGGAAGAACTATACTCCTTTCTGCTTGTTTGTTTTAAAGTTGTAAGCCACATATGTTTTCTGAGTTATTTGTAACTATTTAGTTACAAGCTTCAGCATGATTAGAATTGTTATTTGAAAGAATTTTAATAATTTTCTCACTGTAATTGGCAGAGCCATAAAATTCCGTTTGGGGCTAATCCAGTGTTCCTTCCTACTTTCTTCACTCCTAACAAGGAAATTAGAGAAGAACATTGTAATTCATTTTGATTTTTCTGTGGCATACAGCAACCTGGACTGGGACGTAGAGCTGGAGTGGGGAGCAAGGATGAGGGTCACATAAGCCGTTGACGGGTTCTCACCGCCATTCCCCATGTCTACTCACCATTGTTAGGAAGTGATAAGCACTCTGCTTAGAAAGTTGTGTAGCTGCTGGCTTTAAGATGTACTTGTTTAAAGCACGCACAGCTCTCAGTAGAGTAGCAGGGAAAAGCAAAAACAAAACAAAAAAAACCCCAAGCGGTCATGACTTAATATTTTGCATTGTTGGATCTGCTTGGCAGAGGCAGTCTCAACACTGGGACATTTAAATAGGAACAATTGCAGTAGGTGTCAAAGGGCAGGAAATGGCCGTACTCGGTAAATGCAGTGGAATTGTTCAGCCAAGGATGCTTCTGTGCAACCCTGAGTGGGAGTGGGAGACATCTGCTAGTAGCTGGTAGTAGATTTTAGTTGGTCCTTCCCGGAATGTCACATCAGAATTTACCAAAATATATGTTCCTGTCCTTGACATTTGTGTTGCTCTGGAACAAGTCAGTTATTTTCCTTTTGAGGGTCTGGTTATACAGACACTTGTTACCAATTCCCCAATTTGCAGAACGCTTTGCTCTTACTGGTGTTTGTCATTTGCGGATGTTTTCAAGGGAAGTCCAGTATTATGTTGAAAAACAATGAAACATACGTATTGATCTTACGGTTTGGATTCAAAATGGAAGAGATCTTTCTGTCAGAGTCACATGACCGGAGAGCCACCTTCTCTCCACGAATGCTACCTCC